CATACTTATATTCAAATATATATGTGTATTATATTATCCCCTGTGTTTCTGTATGCTTAAGGTTAATTTCATAAAATAACTTTTATTTTTTTGCCTAAGTACAAACATCTTCAGCCTGGCATTCAAGACTCTCCACAACACTATTACAACTTCCTTGTCCAGCCTCACTCATCACTAATTCATATAGCTGTGTTCCCAATGCTTGGGACAGTTATATACCTCCTTTGTTATTTTACTGTGAACATCATTTCCATTATAACTGACAAGTATCTTTCTTTTCAACACTTTTAACTCTCACAGCCTTGTATGAATCAATAATAAACAGGAAAAACATATCATACACTAATTATTCTAATGTGAATGCAAATAATCATACAACTGTGAAAATATCTGTCCTCCTGTTACACTTTTTCTTATACCTGTGCTCAAGGCACTTAGATTTGCTGTGTAATATTCTGGTGGGGAGATGGTGTTTGGAGCCACACCTAGCACTGCTCAGGGGTCACTCCTGACTCTGCACTCAGGAACTGCTCCTGGCAGTGCTCGCGGGACCATATGCGGTTCCAGGGATGGAACCTGGTCAGATGCAAGCCAGGCAAGTGCCCTACCCACTGTACTACCTTTCTGGCCCTAGGTGGAGCGCAGTATTATGTTACTTGGGCGACCTGCTAACGGTGCACACTCCCGGGGCCCCAGGGGAATCGCGCAGAGGCGTCGAGCAGCTGCCCGGCAAGCATGTGGTTCTGAGCTGAGAGTCCCAGCACTCCACATGTGCTGAGTGGGAACCAGGCAGCTCTGTGGTCTGTGACGTCCCCAGCTGCCCCTTGGCCAGGGGGGTGCCTGCCCCAAAGTGAGGGGCATGACCCCTAGTGGCACCACCTGAGACTGATGAGCAGAGGATACAACTGCCAGCATGGACCCACTGTGCAGCCCCGGCAAGCGAGCGCCACGTCGGCTCGAGAGCTCACCCTGGTGGGCCCGGGTGCGAGTACCCATCACAGAGGCTTAGTGAGCCAAGTCTATATGGGCGCCACCAGCCGAGTGCCATCAGCGAGTTCAACAGCCGGGCAGGTGATGGAGCCCCGTCATCAGGACAAGAGCAAAACAAGGAGGGAAGGAGGGAAGGGAAGAAGGAGGAAATATAAATGATGGGAAGAAGGAGGGAATATAAATGATGCTTTAACGGAGATTCCAAGGCGGGTGCCATCGCCGGGCTGATTCACTCAGAAGACAAAAATCCTGTCCCTGACAAACCGGACAGTTCCCCGCGCTCTAGAGTAGCCTGACATGCCCTCGTCCCCGTGCCGTCCCTGTAGTTCTCCCTTTGCTGCGAGTCTCATTCCCTCTCCCTACGCCCACAGAGATGAAGCCTGCACGCTCAGGCCCACATTAAATATCACCGTCACGACCAGGAGTTGGCCTTGCCTGTTCCACCTGTCACTTCCACCCCGTTCTTCCCCCTGCAGTGGGTTTCCAGCAGGGTTGCACCCCATGCTCAGAGCAACACTCCCCTGCTTGCCTCAGTCCCCTGCTGGACCCCGAATGGTATGTGAAGGCAGAGCCTCGTCCATTGATCCAGAGTAGGGACCCTAGCTTGGTCATTTCAGGCTTCCAACACGAGTTACTCGGATCTTGCTGCACTGAGCAATACTAAGCACTGAACTGATGTAATGTCTTCCATGAACATTTATTAAAAATCATGGATGCCGGGGATGAGAGGTTCTGGATGAAAGCCTAGATTTGATCACAGGTACTGTGCGTATACAAACACACACACACACACACACACACACACACACACACACACACCTTATAGCATAAGACACTACATTTATTTACTCATATAGAATTACAAGTTAAACGTGAAAATCTCTGTGCCAGGAGATAACTCAAACAGCTGGACAGTATGCTTTGCATGCGGAAGGCACGGTTTCACTCCCCAGTACCTCCTGATCCTCCAAGGAGAATGGCCCCCAAGCACTGTGCTGGGAGTAGTCCCCAGGGACTGCTGGGAGCGGCCCCAAAATCCAAAGCCAGAAATCCAAAATGAACAAAACAAAACAAAACAAACCCATTAAAATCAGTACTATCTAGCTCCACATGTAGAATCAAGTGGTTTTAACTGTTAACTATAACATTAAAAAAAAAAAAAAGCTGGGGCTGGAGTGATACTACAGTGGGGAGGGCGTTTCCCTTGCACACTGCTGACCTGGGTTCAATCCCCAGCATCCCATATGGTCCCCCAAGCAGTGCCAGGAGTAATTCCTGAGTGCAGAGCCAGGAGTAATCCCTAAGCATTGCTGGGTGCTGTCTGTCCACTATCCTTATGTTGTTCATCAGTTTGCTCAAGCGGGCACCAGTAACGTCTGCATTGTGAGACTTGTTGTTACTGTTTTGGGCATAGTGAATACGTCACGGTAGCTTGCCAGGTTTTGCCATTCGGGCAGGATACTCTCGGTAGCTTGCCAGGCTGAGAGGGTGGAAAAATTGAACCCGGTTGGCCACGTGCAAGGCAAACGCCCTACTGCTGTGCTATTGCTCTAGCCCTAAGCATCACTGGGTGTCACCCAAAAAGCAAAAAAAAAAAAAAAAGATTGAAAAAAAATAAAAGCTAACCAGGAACACCAAAATTAATTTTAAGAAACACAAAAGCACTTCCTAATTTACAACCTTCCAAGCAAAAGTAAATGATCAAGTTATTAATTGACAAAGTGAGTTTCTTATCCTGCTACAAAAAGCTATTAACTTAAGAACAACATGACTATTAAAGCAAAGTTAATTGACTCTAGCAAAATTATCAGTACTTTCACATGACATTTCAATATGGCTTCTCTTTTGCTTTAATATTGCAATTACTCTGATGTAGCAAGAGCAATAACCGAGGATCCCGAGAGATGGTGAAGAGTCAGCTAAGGAGCTTGGCTTGTACACAGTCAACACTGTACACAGTTCAACCCTCAGCACCATATATAGCTTCCTGAGCACTGGCAGGTGGTCCCAAAACAAAACAAAACAAATTTTTCAAAAGGGCAATAATCTCCATTTTCTTCAGTGTTAAAACCATGATAACTACCAGTATAAAATCCAGGAAAAAAAGTGCTTTTGTTCAGAAAATATCAATATGCAGCTCATTTGAAGATCTTATCTTTTCAATGTGGTCACTGACAATGTGGTTCATTTCTAAGCCTTGCTGTTTGGAACATATTTAACCCTGGGAGAAGAGAAACCGAAATGGGACTTTTTCGTCAAAATTGTTCAATCTGTTCGGTCTAGAGTCTACTTTCAGCATGCTTCTGCCACAGATGCAGGGTGGGATGGAGGGATGGGGGTGTGGGAGGGATACTGGAATTAGTGGAGGTGGAGAAAGGGCACTTGTGGAGGGATGGGCACTCGATCATTGTACAACGGAAACCCAAGCACAAAAATTTGTAAGTCTATAACTGTACTTCATGGTGTTTCACTAATAAAAAAAAAAGAACATTTTAAAGAAAATATGAAAAAAAAGTGTTCAATCTGCATCAATCTTTATTACCATTTTGTCTGGACAGTAAACGGACACATGAGAGCTTAGAAGACAAAATTGTCAAACTCATACATATAAACGACTAGACTAATTTTAAGTAATGAAAGGGGGGAGATGGAGAATGTGCATCATGTGATGCAGTTCCTGGGCCTTCCAGGTTGAGAAAGGAGATGGACAGAGAGTGAGAAATGAAGACTGAGGGGGGCCCTGGCGACCTCCCTCTCTCCTCTCCTCCTTCCTGTTCCAGTCACATCCCTCTGAAAGTTCCTAGCAGGTCAAGTAGATTGAACCCACCTTATATCAAACTCTGTATTTAACTTTTTCATTAGAGTTTCACATTGCAAAAAACAACAACAACAACAACAAAAATGGTTAACCCACTCTGTCCATTTTCCTGAATTAAATTAACTAGAAGTAAAGCAATAACTGGGGGCAGGAGCAAGAATGCAGCGGGCAAGGCCCAACCCGGGTTGAATCCCCAGCATCCCACCCGAGTGCAGAGCCAGAAGGAACGCCTGAGCACCGCCGGATGTGGCCCCAAACCCGGAAAAAAAAAAGAAGTAAAGCAATAGTCTAAAGTTCTTGTCTTCCAAGATCAAAGAATTCCCCCAAATGAAGCTAGTCTTGTTTTAATTGCCATAAAATGATCATCTGCAACTATTGGTGCTACTGAGAAGAAACGTCCAATTAAGTTTATTTCCTTCCCAAGTAAGCAATCTTTTTTATTTTTCTAAAATGCTAAATAGAGACAGAGCCTTGAGGTTCTATAAATGTATTCAAGCAGTACAAGAGGACCGGGAAAAAAGGCAGAAGTTTAGCGGTAATGAGAAGGAGTTAAATAAACCTATTTCAAAGATTCTATAAGTAGAATAGATCAGATTAGACAAGCTTATTGGAAGGTAACAACACAGCTCATTTGATAAAGCAGTTCTAAGAAATCCAAAAATACCATTTCTCTTTTTAAAAAAATCAAAGAAGCACTTGTACTAACAAGAAATAATGCACAATTTGGCTTGATCAAATACTTCATTAATTTTTTCTTCCCCCCAAGGTATTGCCCTTTTAAAATCCTCTTCAAGTAAAATATAACCTAATTGTCTGCGCAGCTGCAGTTTACAAAGGGATTTTTATTTCAACAGTGCCACCTAGTGGAGCGATCAACACTTCCAGCTGGTCACAGGTTGAGTTTTTCTAGTCTCAAAGGATAGGAATTCCAGTTCCCAATAGCCTAAATCATATTAACACACAAATGGCGTGATGCTACGGGAGTATCCTGGTATTTTCCCCTTCTGAGAGGCTGTCATAAAAATTACTCTTGAGACAGTGGTGGAGGAACAGTGGCATTTGGTCGTAAGTGTGGAACAATGCCTGGTACATAATTACTAACACCACTGCAAACCCTGACACCCCAATTTCTAACCGTTAACTGCTCACCAAACGTATCAATATTACATCAGAATACTGTCAATGCAAGTACCTTAGTGATTTCTTCAGAAGCTCGCTGGAAGTCCTGAACATTTCGACAGTAAAATCCTATGGTACAGCTGGGGTCCATCTTCCGAAAGGACATCTTCTTGGGAGAAGGGCAGTGGAATGTCTGCAATGTGAAAATGTTGCTGAGGATTCGGTTTCATCTGATGGGCTTGTGACATGCAAGAATTTCATTCCCTTTCAAACCTACCAACGCCCTTTCCAGAATGGGGGCAGCAGATCCCAGGCAGGGGAAACTCCCCTGGAGCTGCTGGGTGTGGGGGTGAGCCCCCGCCATACACACAGGCCACCCCTTCTCCCGGCACGCGGGCAATGCCACCCTGGCAGACATAGGAAGCTTGCGCCTCTACCCTTGCACTCTTGCAGAGAGCTGGGGAATGTGACACAAATCAGCCAGTAGATGGGTGTAGACCAAGTCAGCTACCACTAAGAAGGGCAACGCAGCCTGATTTTGTTAGCTCTTCACAAATAGCACAAAGGTAGGGCATTTGCCTTGCATGTAGCTAGCCCGGCAGAGCAGGGTTTGATTCCTCTGCCCGTCTCGGAGAGCCTGGCAAACTACTGAGAGTATTCAACATGCCAAACACAGTAACAAGAAGTCTCACAATGGAGACGTTACTGGGCCTGCTCGAGCAAATCGATGAACAATGGGAGGACAGTGTTTGTTCCCAAATCTTTAGAAACCTTTTGTAAAAAAAGAGCAACTTTTGGGGGGCAGAGCGATTGGACTGAGGGTAAGAAGCTTGCCTTGTACATAGTTAACCCCAGTTCGATCCCAAACATCCCATATGGCCCCCTAAGTTGGGTCTAGACACCCCTTAAGAAAAAGAAGAGGGAAAAAAAGTGATTTTTAAAACAGATTCACAAAATCATGTACTGGTTCCCCAGAGACAAGAAGTCAAGCTGCAAGTTTTGGTAATTTTCACAACCAGCTCCTAACCATCTGCTCCTCCAGCCCACGCTCCCTCGTGCTCATCTAAGTCCAAGCTCATTTCTGGCCACCGGGACATGAGCGAAAGCTACTCTGTTCCTGCAAGCAAAGGCTGTTCTGCCTTCCAGTCCTCTCCTGGCCTGTCTCGTCCTGCTCTCCCTGCTTCCCAGGCCTTCCCTTCCCGCCTTGCCTGTCCTCTTCTCTGAAGCTCAGAGCACCATCGCCTTTGCGGGCTGGGCTGCTGCTCCAGGCTTTTCTTCCCTCACTGGAAGCGGCAGCTACCAGTCTCTGCAACTTCCAGAACACAGAGTGGGGGAGAGAAAGTGGGAGCCCAGGAGCCTCACTCCCACCTTTTCTTCTTCCTTCCACCACATTTGGTTACTTTAAAAGATTTCTACTGCTTAGCACGTTCTTCGTATCTCTAAGGACCAGGTTCCATCCTCGGCACCAAAAAAAAAAAAAAAAAAGGAAAGGAAAAGAAAGCAGAGAACCCACACTCAGATATGCTATCTTCCAACGTCACTAATGCTGGGGGGGTCCTGGGTGTGATCCCCAGCACCTCAATGCCACCAATGAGAGTAGCCATTCTCCAGTACAATGTCTTTGTTAAAAAAAAATCACTGCTGCTACCAGTGATTTCATTTGTATAGAATTTTTAAAAGGAGTCTATGCAGAATAAGAGGGGCATAAAAATGCATACTCACATGTTTTTATTTGCGTAAATAAACCTGTTAAGGATAAACAAACAGAAAGGCATAGGAGAGCAGTAGACCTTGAGACGAGACATGGGACATTCTGTGTAATTTTTATATTTTTTAATTACAAGTTTAATTATTCAAAATTTAAATTAAAATTTTAATTATTCAATTAAATAATCCTGGAGTTGGAGAGGCTATGCCGTGGGTAAGGTGCTCGCCATGCAGACAGCTGAGCTGGTTCTGTCCCCAGAGCCATGGGTGCCCCCAGCACTGCCAGGAGTGATCCCTGAGCACCACCGGGTGTGACCCAACACCAAAACAATCTGTTCAGAACACTTAAATCCAAATCCGCCCCCCTCAAAAAAGAAAAAGAATCTGGGACTGGGAAGACAGCAAAAGGGCTGGGGCATGGGCGTGAATGAGGTCCAATTCCAGACACCTCTCCTGACCCTCAACCAGGGGCAGGGAGTAGACGGGCCCCCTCCCTGACCAGCACTGACACAGGTGCCCAAAAGACAGAAGAAGGGAAGGAGGGAGGGAGGGGAGGGAGAGAATGAAGGAGAGGGAGGGGCTGGAAAAGGAACAAGGAAGGCAAAGATAGAGAAGGGAAGAAGTAGAGAGGGAAGGGGAATGAACCTGCTGGATCTGGACTCACGAACTCAAATTTTCCCAAACAGTCAATGCCTAAAACTAACGAATTTTAACTTGGAACTCTACTAAAATGAAGAACAAGGGCTTTCATACTTGTCATGTTCATAGTGAGTCAATCACTATCACTCTAACATTCTCCTACATCTGAGCTATCCGATTTATAATGTCTCCCACTTCCTAATCAGAAAACAAGCAAACTGCTTGGAAAGACAACTGAAAAGACAACAATTTGAAAAGACAACTCTCCTAGGTAGCAAGGTCTGTAGCACTGTCCTCCTGTTGTTCAGTGATTTGCTCGAGTGGGCATCAGTAATGTCTCCACTGTGAGACTTGTTGTTACTGTTTTTGGCATACCGAATACAACATGGGGAGCTTGCCAGGCTCTGCCATGCAGGTGGTATACTCTCAGTAGCTTGCCGGGCTCTCCGAGAGGGGTGGAGGAATCGAACCCCGGTTGGCTGCATGCAAGGCAAATGCCGTACCCACTGTGCTATCACTCCAGTCTGGTACCAACTCTTCTGGGTCATTGCTGAAATACACACAGCATTAAATCATTGCTGAAATTAGTGATGTGCCCAGCTCTTTCCACAGCAAAAGGTACAGAATATTTTCTAGTCTTTATGACTTGATGAAAGGCCAAAGTTTATACAAACCCTAACAAAATAGTTTCACTCATTATACTCAATTTACAGTATTGAGCAAAGTTCTCGAGTAAGAACCAGCCAAATGAAAGCAGAGCCGGCTCAGTGCTCACTGCCTCACCGCAGGAATGACAAAGAGTAAATTGTTATTCATGGTTGTGTCGACTTCAAGAGAGAATTTGATATTATTTGCAGAAACACAGAAACATAAACCTCTGATCACTGAGAAACGGAATTGCTACTAGGTGTTACAGTGCTCATCTTAGTTGAGTATTCAGAGGTAACTGATAACACTTTACCCTAGTAATTATATTGTATTGCTCACCGAAAGATTCTGAAGTCAAATCAACATTGAGCCAAAAGTGAGAATCATTTCTGTCCCGTGCAGAATAAATTCAGCCTTCAGTTATTTTCCCCAGTGTACTGACAAGCTATGTTCACTTTGTGATAATTCTTTGACCTGTGCACTTCAGATGATTTCCCTTTTACTTTTAAAAACTCTGTCAATTCTGGGGCTGGAGCGATAGCTCAGCAGGGAGGGCATTTGCCTTGCATGTGGCCAACCCGGGTTTGATTCCCAGCATCCCATACGGTCCCCTGAGCACCGCTAGGAGTAACTCCTGAGTGAAGAGCCAGGACTAACCCCTGTGCATTGCCAGGTGTGACCAAAAAAGCAAAAAAAAAAAAAAATTTTAATAACTTTAATGCCATGATTCTCTAAGTTGACTAAGAGAAGAGTATGAACCCCTTCTGAAATTTGAAATTAAGGGGCTGCAGGAATCAGAACAGACTCGCGTGTCTATTAGTAAGGCCGTTCAAATTAATAGACTCTTAACAGTAAGACAATAGAATACTGAAACAGAACAGACCTGGGTATTTGTCAATTATTGTCAGAACCAGTTATTCTGAAGGCGTATCATAACACGGTATAACAGCTTCACTTAGGACATTTCAACTTAATAAACACATACACACACCACACACGAGAGAGAGAGAGAGAGAGAGAGAGAGAGAGAGAGAGAGAGAGAAATTACCTCTCTGCTAATCCTAGCAGCTTAAACTTTTCCCTGCGTCACTTACAACAGAACCCACGGACCTGCCTACCCTCATAGCGAACCCAGCTGAGTTTTTATCATTCCCTTCTAAATTCACACTACCCACTGACTACCCTTTTCCTTTAGGGTCACTAACACTGCTCCCTCGAATCCTCATTCTCTGTCTGAAAATGGCAGTGGATGAGGCAAATTTAGTAATTTCTCCTCACACTTCCCTGTGGCCTCTCAGTTCTCATGCAGGGTTGCCCCTGCAAACCCCACTGCTACCAGAGCCTCTGAAGAGAACTACTCACATTCACTGCATACTGTTAGCAACGCAGTGATCAGAGCCACGCAGTGATTAGAGCCAGAGATAACAATATCCTCAAAGGCACAAAATCTCTGGAGTCTAGACCAATATAAGAAAACGCCGCAAGAACTTAGAAATGAACACACACAAGCCAAGCACCAGGGACTAAGTTGGAGAACAGCTCCAAAGAGGACGTGAAAGTGCTTAGCACAGTACCTGGCACACAGAAGAGCTCGATAAACAACAGCTTTAAAACAAAAGAAAGAAACCAGTCTGGCTTATTTTCTATTGTTTTTAAGTTGAGCTCTGGAAGTAGCGGAAATTTTATAAGAACCACCAATATCACTTAATAAATCTCTTCTTCAATCACTAATATTCTGATAAACTACTTGCTTAAATTTCATAACCCACTATAACAGGAGACACTTCAAATATCAGCATTACCACTAGTTATTTATATGGAATTAAAGAGCTAGGATTTTTATTTTCCCATCTATGACTCAAAAGAAGAACTGATCCAAAAAGTTACTTCAAAAAATAATTTTAGGAATAGATATATAAAGTAAATATAAGAGCATATAATTCCTACTATCAAACACAAAATTTCAATGACATATAAGCATACAACCTAATAGCCAGGCAAGTTAAGGTTACAGGGTAGCTAAAATCTGTCTACATGGAGCATATGATAAAAAGCAAAAAGTGAAATTTTATTAGTGTACAAAGAAAAATACTTTGTCATATTTTAATTATATTCTCAAAGAGGAAAAATTATGCCAGACATGAACAATTTAAGATAAATACCAATAAGGAGAAAAAAAGAGAGAAAAATAGCTATCCACAGGAATTACCCAGTTCAATATATTCTATCAACATCTAAAACTTAACAGCTACAACCCATTTTCTTGGTATCTTTTTATGCAAGGAATAAATGCTACGGTGGCTTTAAAAGTTTCCTGATTTCACCAAAGTGAAATTTTTACAAAGTCTCTTAAACCAACTCTTCCTCTTCCTTTCTCTACTCCCACCTAGCTTTCAGTTTCCACAGAGCTCTGTGCCCTTCCTAACACTCAGTGGGTAAGCAGACGCAGGCCATTTGTCACCAGATATCTTCGTGACCTCTCAAAATACTGGACAAAGACACTAACATAATCTGGATGGAGAATATTTCAAGCACCTACTTTTTAAAAGGACCAATTTTGAATATATACCCTAAAAATAGAACTCAGACCTGGGTCTGTGTCTTCGGACCATAACACTGCAGCTATGAGTGACGACGTTCTTCTCGTACACAATTCCATCATGTCTACACCAGTGTCCATCACTCAACTTGCAAATACTCATTCAAGCTTATATGTGAGATACTATAATGGGAGAAAGGAGAAAACAAACCCGGTCTCTGGTCGCAAGGTAAGTTAAAATAGGAATTTACAAAGGATGCCAGGATGTCTTCTGATGTATCCTCCTGAACCAGACTTTAATTATCCAGCTGACCTTGTGTCATATCTGCACCTTATGCACCACTTAGTATTAGTATTTGCTAAAAAGCTATTACTAAAGCAAAACACACTTCCAATCTTCCAAGTGCTCAAGAATTAGTACACCACACCACTCAGCTGACAAAACCAGTTTAAAAGTATATAAAAAACATCACTGAGGATCATCAGTAACAAAATGCAATAATTATCTCTCACTTGTACATGGTCAAAATTTACTGAATTTAAATACTGGAACACAAAGAACTCTCATAAGGAATAAGAGGATATTAGGAAATTAAAGCTAAAACAAATTATTGGATAGCCAACTTGCACTCTTTCTTTCTTTTCTTTTTTTTTTTAAGGCACCATGATTTACAAAGTTGTTCAAACATCTTAACTAAAGGCTAAGATTTAATGGGTAAACTTAAAGCAGATATCTCCTTTAGTCATCGTGTTATTTTAACCCAAATTCATTTTCTCGCCCCCCTCCTCTCTTGTTCTTCTAAAATCCCAACATTTAAAATTCCTTAGTACTATTCAGTTATGTATCTATAAAACTACTTGGAGGGCTGATCATTAATTCTGGCTGGGCTAGGAGAACTAACAAGTTAGAAAGCAAGACAAACGGAGAGGGAAGTACATAATAAATTAAAATTCAACAACAAATCATTTAATCTTTGACCTTTGTGTTGATTATGGCTCTAGAAACGAGTAAAATATTGACTATTAGTGTGAAATTGGAATGCCATGAAAGCAGCGCTGTCTAGCACACCTCTCAATAATTAGAATTTGCGAGATCAGTAAGAAAACAGAAGTGGCTCTTTATCTAGTACCTCGAGAGGGAAATCCTTTATGCTGACATCTACAAAAGACTGGCAGTAATGAGGATCCATGTAAATCAAACTGTCATCTACAAGGACAAAACAGAAGACAAGTAATTCAAAAAACACCTTATTATTACACTGCTTACAATCCAATTTCTATGTAGAATAGCTGAAAAAAAAAATCTGGGAGTAACAGCTTGCCAGGTTGATATTCATTGACTAAAACATAGGTTTGCACAGGACAGATTAAATTTTGCATCATCAAATATGCTTGTATAAGCAGAATTTTTATAAAGTGATGAGGCTGTCATTTAATTTTTGGTGATAAAATTACTTTCACAAACACACAATTATATTCTACGGTTTGCATATGAAAAATGTATTGCGCTACGTTATCTTGACAGGGAGAACATATTGCTTGTCATTTGATCATCAACTAGCACCACCAAAACTGGCAAAAAGTAAATATGTAAATAGCAACTGCCAGAATATGGCACCTGAAATGTCTTCTGAAGTTTCGTGAAATAAATTATGCCTTGTTTATGCAATAACAGAAATTAAACATACATTTTGCAGAATCCAATTACGCTGTGGACCAAATGACAAATGAGGGGCTAGGGCAGGATTGATGAATTTACAAGGTATTCATTCTGCTCTGTTAATCATCCTGTGTCCAGAAGATACAATATTAACTTCCTGACTTGTGAAAGAAAACAATGAAGAAATACATTTTACGAAGTCACTAACCTTGAAATCCGGCAAAGTAATATGACTGTTTGGGTTTGCCACCAATAATCCCCACACAATATTCAAGGCTTAAAACACCCTGTCAAGAGAAATTAATTCAGGTTTAGAGATGCAAGATGAATGGCAATTACTCAAAACAACCAAACCTATATTACCAGGGATAGAAATTGTGCAGCTTTTACTTTCAGTTTTATTTATATTATATTGGGCCCACGTTTTGAAATCCTTTTGTCTACTAACTCAATATTAACATGAGTAAGTCAAACCTTCTAATCAGCATCAAAAACATTAAACAATTATCACATACCGGATGAGCGGATAGACCAGGTTACCGTATTAGAGAATAAAATTCTACTGGGGCCTCCGCAGTAGAGTATATGCTTTCCTGCATGAAGGTCTGGGTTCAATTCATGACTTTAAAAAATATATATATATAATAAAAATTTTTAATTCCAGTCAAGACCAAACACTTGGCCTTTTAATTAGCTGGCTCACGGATTAGAATTAACATTTTAAAAAATCACCTTGGGACTAGAGAATTAGTACGAAGTGTAGGGTGCTTGCCTTCCACAAGGTCAAGCAAGGTTCAATCCCTGGCACCCAATCCTGTCCCCTGAGTCCCACCAAGAGTGATTCCTGAGCATAGAGCCAGGAGTAAACCCTGAGCACTGCCAGATATGGCCCCCAAGGGAAAAAAATTAATAAATGGCCACTCCACACAAAGCATTTCAAGGCATTATACAGATGCAATATAATTCCTATGATTCCTATCCAAATCCCAGTGGCATTCTTCAAGGACATAGAAGCATGACTAAAATTTGTATGGATCCACAAAATTCCCTGAATAACCAAAGCAATCCTGAGAAAAAAGTGAAGAGGTGTCACATTTCCTGACTTTTAATGATAATACAAAATTAAGGTAATTTTGTATAAGTATGGTAAAGAACTGAAATGCAGGCACTTAGATGAGTGAGAGCACAGAACTAGAAGAACCTCAGGTATACAGAGTTAATTTACAACAAAGGAGACAAGAGCATAAAATGGAGAAAGGAAAGTCTCTTCAACAAATGGTGCTGGGAAAACTGAATACACACAAAAGGAAACTACCCTATCTCACACCACACCCAGACTCAACTCAAACTGGATTGTGGGCATTTCACCATTACCTAGATTAAATCTGTGATACTGGCTTCCATATGTATTCAGGGATTGGACTCCACAGCAGGGAAACAAAAGGAAAAATAAACCAGTGGGGTCACACACTAAAATGTTTCTGCACCCAAAGACAGATGAGCTTCGTGCAAAAACCATACTACGGGAGGGAGAAGTATCTGTGCAAATACTTCTGACAAACAGCTAATGTTCCCGACAATAAACTCAACAACAGAAAACAATCCCACTAAAATGGCAGGGAGACAGCTGGACACTTGTCCAGAGATGTGCAGACAGCCAACAGGCACATGAAAACATGGGCATCAGCCCTGACTATCAGAAAATGCTAATCAAAATGACAAGGAGAGATCAACCTCACACCATTAAGTATGGCAAATACCAAAGTGGTCAGAAACAAGGGCAGGGAGAGGGTTAGGGTGGTAAAGTGCCTCCTGACATCTGGAGGTCTGAGTCTGATCCCCAATAATTCATGCTACTCCCACACACACCCACCAATGTCCCCGGTATCCCTCCCGCCCCACCCCCCCTCCATATTCTCCTTCTCCTTTGGGGCGTTATGGTTTGCAACACAGATACTGAGAGCCCATCATGTCTGACCCTTTATCTACTTTCAGTGCACATCTCTCATCGAGTGATCCCTCCAACCATCATTGATTTAGTGATCGCTTCTCTATCCCAGCTGCCTTCTCCCCCAGCTCAGGAGGCAGACGTCCAGCTGTGAAGCAATCTTCCTGGCCCTTGTCTCTACTGTCCTTGGGTGCTAGTCTCATATTATGTTATTTTTATGTCCCACAAAGGAGCGCAGTCATTCTACGCCTGTCCCTCTCTTTCTGCCTCATTTCACTTAGCATGATACTCTCCATGTACAAGCAAATTTCATGACTTCATCTTTCCTAACAGCTGCATAGCATTCCACTGTATAGATGTACCATAGTCTCTTTAACCAGTCATCTGTTCTTGGGTGCCCGGATTCTAATTGGAGTCGGTCATATGCAAGGCAAGTGCCTTAACTCCTTGTAATATTTCTCTGTCCCATTTCAAATCATACCATGGTTGTGCAGATGCAGAGTGACAGAATTCAGACTAGATCATAGCCACAGCCGACCAAGTTTGTGACTAGCATATGACAATATGCCAGAAGTCTCCAAACCCTCAGTGGATTCTCTAGATAAAATACAATTATCACCAAGCCGCTGCATCTCCCAGGGAGACCAGTCCAGGCCGAGAATTCTGGGACTTTCCCAGTATGAGGGCTGTTAGACTACCCCCACCCAGACCCCACCCAAAGCCCATAAGTCCCCATCCACGCTAAACATTGCTGACACAGAAACAGCCCAGCTCCACAACGAGACTCAAAAACAATACCAAGGGGCTGGAGCGATAGCACTGCGGGTAGGGCATTTGCCTTGCACGCAGCCAACCCAGGTTCAATTCCCAGCATCACATATGGTCCCCTGAGCACCACCAGGAGTAATTCCTGAGTGCAGAGCCAGGAGTAAGTCCAGTACGTTGCCGGGTGTGATCCCAAAAGCAAAAAAATAAATAAAAATAAAAAATAAAAATTTAAAAAAAAATACCAAGATGCCGAATCTTCTAGATAGATGGGTCAGGGCTGAGAACTCTGGGGCTGACTCGGAATTGGGGGGGGGGGTGTCAGATAATCAAACACACACACACACACACACACACACACACACACAGAGGCCCAGCATCACAGTCCACACCCGACATTTTCCAGCAGAGAGACCGCCCAACTCCACAAGTGAATCTCATCAAGCCCCAGCCCTCAAATCATGCCAGCTACCACGGAGCACAACCACATAAGCAGCTGCCTGACACCTCCAACATCACAGAACTGACAGCCCAGAAGAAGCACAGCAAATTTGATGGGAAAGTTGCGTAGAAGCCCATCGAGTTCAATGAGCAAAAACAGTAACACGGGACCAACAATAATAACTAGCACCAACCAGCTCAGTGAACCCTCAATGACTCCAGTACCACCACTGTGAGACATAATGGTGATTTCAAATTGGCTTCTGTTGATCAATTTCGTGATAATGCCTCACTGTAACAAGCAGTATTAAAGGATATTATTTCGTGCCGGCTAAGGGGGCAGGGTGGGGGGTGGGGGGAAGGAAATGCCCTTGTGTGAGGAACCAAAATAATGAGCGTGCAGTCAAGTGTGCTGACATCACAGCTAACGCTAACGTGTGCCACCTCACAGGGCCAGCCTGCCTGTGCCACTTCAGAGCCAGCACAGCTGTGCCACCCCGTCCATCCCAGCAACACCCCCCATTACAAACTAGAGAGGACAAGTCTCTGAAAAGTCAGATTGGTATTTTTTTTTAATCACACAAATACATCTTAATGTGGGTTGTACAAATAAGCCAAGGTGTGTACTTTTAAAAGTCACCAAAAAAGAACAGCCACAGAAACTATAGCCTCTTCATCTCTTATAACTATTCTTTCTGTGTCTCCACGATTAGTGACAAAGATGAAAAGAGTCCTCTTCAAATCACACCTGATCTCCTAATACTAAAATTTAAAATCTCAAATGTCAAAATTTACTAGCTACAGGCATAAAGATATTACTACTCATTTAAGAGAAAAAAATAAAGAGCATAGAGCTATGGATTTCACATTAGTCAGCACTTCCCTGAAAATAAACAAGAGGGGCTGGAGTGATAGTACAGTGGGAAAGGTGCTGGCCTTGCATGCAGCTGACCTGGGTTGGATGCCCGGCACCCCATATGGTCCCCTGAGCCCAGCAGGAGTGATTCCTGAGAGCAGAGCCAGGAGTAACCCCTAAGTTCAGCAGGGAGCGGTCCCAAAACCAAAAGAATAAAAGAATTTTAAAAAGGTAAACAACTAAACCCTTAACACTCACACTCCTATAAACCAATGTTAAGTCAATAAAAAAGACAGATTAACAAGCCAGTGGAAAAAAAAACTGAAGTCTTGTTTCATACCTTGACAAACTCCAAGTATTCAATATTGGTTCTTTCTCCACCAAGTCTGACAGGAACTAGAATAATCACGGCCTTGTCGTCTCTGTTCCCAGAGGACAGGGAAGGGCGCTGCTTGTCAATGACATCGGAACTGTAAACTGAGAAAAGCAGATTGGAAAGTCATCAAATTTTAAAAATCTCAGAAGCACTTTCTCTCTCTCTCTCTCTCTCTCTCTCTCTCTCTCTCTCTCTCTCTCTCTCTCACACACACACACACACACACACACACACACACACACACACGCAGAGGATCTCTCGGATGTAACCGTTAACCACACCTTCCTCCTTCACTGATGTGTTGACAAAACAGCTACTTACACTACTTACCGGGTCTGCGTACCCTAGGCTTTAGCAGTCACAGAACAAAACAAACAAAAAATATCCCTGCCCTCAAAAAGCAGAGTCTCTAATGTGGGGAAAGAGATAATAAGTGAATGCACACCCATCGGATTAGAATAGAAACCTGGAAGAGAAACAGAAGTTGAGGGGCCAAAAGCACTGAGAAGTGGGAGAGAAGGTCTTAGGAGAAACTCACTCGAATCAAGACCTTTTATAAAAGTAAGAAACTGAATATCAGCAGGTCTGGGTAGGAAGAATCACTGTAGGCAGAGAGATCAGCAAGCCCCGAAGACCTGTGGCAGAAGCACAGCTAGCATGTTCCAGAAATAAGAGGTGCGTGCCTCTGGAGGGATGAGAATGGGGAACAGTTTGGGAATGAGACAGGAAGTAGAAGTTCCAGCTGGCGGATAAGGGAAATAAAGAAAGGTCACAGAGGCTTCTAAAGGCCATGCAAAGACTGACTTTACTTCGTAAGAGAAAGCTTCTGAGGGTTTGGGCTTTGTTTTTAGCAAAGGGCATGTCCTGAACTGATTCATAAGGTACCAGTCGAGTTCCCAAGTTGACAACAGACCGGAGGGGTTCAGGGGTGGGGAGCGAGGCAGGGACAGCTGGACTCGAACAAGAGACCACTGCAGCAGCGTGGACAGAGGCAGGAACTGTGATGTCAGGGACTGCACATGGGACAGTTGTGTGGAAGTGGTGAGAGTGGTCAGCTGGAAGGAAAAGAACTCCCTGAATGGCCAATGGGACCAGAGAGGGAGATGGAGGCACGGGGAATCGGCAAGGTTTGGTACCAACAAACTGAAAGTGTGGTCGGTTACAATGAAACAAATGACTACAACGACACAGATGACTATAGCAGAAGGAAAAATACACAGAGGCCGGGATTCTTGCCAAGGAAGCAGAGAGGCTGAGTGGGGATAACGGGCACACGAGCTTGGGTTCAGGGGCTGATCAAGAACGGGCCTATAGCTTGGGAGTTGACAGTTGGCAGAAATGAGGCCACGAGACTGGGTGAGAACATACCTATGAGTACAGCAGAAAGAGAGAGGGTCCACAGGCAGAGACCCCAAACTATGCAGCTGAGTCATCAGAGACATAGGGGGGCAATGGAAGGACACAGAGAAAGGAAGCTGGAACATCTCAACATCAGTGTGGACAGGGAGTGACCCACGTGTCGGGCAGGAAGAGGAAGCAGTGAACCGTGCCACGTGCTGCTGACAGGCTGTAACTAAGGGTGCAGAAGTAACCAGCGGACTTAATAAGACTTCATCCGGGACAAGAGTGACGGCTGCGAGAGCCAAGAGGCGTTATCTGTCCCAGAGAAAAAGCCGTACTGAAAACTTACTTTGCAAGCTCACCCCCTGTCCACTTAATGAAATGCCCTGCGCCAGTTAGCAAATGCCGCCCTCTGGGGCACAACTCAGCCCCCCCCTTTTTTTCTTTTTTGCTTTTTTGGGTCACACCCGGCGATGCTCAAGGGTTACTCCTGGCTCATGCACTCAGGAATTACACCTGGTGGTGCTCAGGGGACCATATGGGATGCTGGGAATCGAACCCGGGACAACTCAGCCCTTTAAATGACAAACTTAGATCCTCAGCTATCAAATCCCTCTGCTCACCAGGGGCCTTCTTTTCCAGAGGCGGTCTAAACCAAAGAGGCAGAAAGGCCACAGACATTGTTTCCATGTTTCAATGCTAAGCTCTCACTTTCTCCAGACCACACAGAAATCACCAGCTCTTGACATTCTCTGACCTCCTCAAGCAGGGCACCCCCCGTCTTTTACTCTGGGGGTAAATACACGCGCCAATCCAACAAGTGCTCCTGAGGCCAGGGAGCAAAGCCACATTACTGTGTGCACGAGGCTGGGTCCCCTCTCTGGACCCACATGGCCACTCGCCGTGCCAGGGACGGCCTTGGTGGCTCCCAAACACCACTGAGTGTGGGCCCTATAACAAAACCCATTTTAGAAATCAAATCTTTTTTAGGAGCTGGAGAATAGTACAGCAAGTAGGTCTTTTGCTAGCACACAGCTAACCTGGGTTCACTCTCTCCCAAACCCTCAGCAGCTTTCTCTTATGAAGTAGAATCAATCTTGGCACAGCCTTTAGGAGCCTCCCATAGGGTCCCCCAAGACTGCCAGGAGTGATCCCTGAGCACACCAGGTGTGGCCCCCAAACCAAACATATATACGTGTGTATATATATGTTTATATATGTATATGTATATATATATATACCTATGTGCACAAACACTATATATACATAATATATGTATAATATATGTACATACATGTATACTTATATACATGTATGCTTATATGCATATATGTATACATATATAATTATGTGCATATATGTGCATATATACATATGTATATACATATACATAAAATATATGCGTGTGTGTATGTGTATATATATATATATATATAAAACTTAAATATCTCACTGCCTGAGTCACATTTGGAGGCCAGGGGATGAAGTACAAGTGGCAGAGCACATGACTGGCATGAGCAAGACCCTGAGCTCAATCCCTGGCACCACATGCCCCCTCCTGAGCATCCTGAGGCCAAAGAGCCCCCGCAGGGACCTTAAGAAGAATGAGCTTTCCCTTCAGAGAGATCTACTTTATCCAAAATAAATATTGGCAAGATCAAAGTAACTTTTCTACCTGCATATATGCCCATTTCCTCCTTATTAAATGTCTCTTCATTATTCATCTCTAGCCAACACTCACACGCTGAGGACTTGCTTATTTTTACTAAGGTTTTCTGTGTTCCGAGAATTAAAAAAAAAATGGATCCTGGCCTCAGAAGTGTCTCACTCAATTATGTTAGTGTTTCCTCTCAATCGTTAATATATGCAAAGGCTATGAAATGTGGAACTTCCTAACCCAGGCTATAGCAGTGGTTTCCAACTAAATGCTTCGACTTCCTCTCCCCTCCCCCACTAGCAACATCAATACAGAGAGAAACAGATTACATGGCAAGGTGATACGGTCAGGGGATTCTAACGGCACTCCTTAATAGCAACACCTCCAACGTGTTCCCCACAAAGAAGAGTAAGTCAACTCTCTTCGATGGCAGCTGGAGAAGGCTTCACCAAAGATGTAAGTTTGAAAGTGTTCTTAAAGAATACAAAGCCAACAAGAAGCATTTTAATAATACAGGGTATCCAATCAGAGGCAATAATACATGCAAAGACTGGGGGAAAAGATCATAGCATGTCCAAGGAATGGCTTGATGGTTGACAAACTCTTTGGCGTATCACATGAAAGACTGCCCTGCACACGAAGGCCAGGCCAAGTTTCAAAGTACTTCCTGTGCTTAACATGCTAATGGGGGCAATTGTTACTTGCAGATATGGCTCTTCAAATGAGCAGACATGAGCGATTTCTTCTGATTACATGGATCAAAAAAAAAATCCAAAGACAAGGAAATTAAGTTATATCCCAATTCAAGGACAATGGTCTGATCTGCATCAACAAGAGAAGAGAGAACAGATTTAGAGGCACTTAGAAAAGTATCAGTGGTACGCAGTGGAGGACTGGTCACGTGTAAGTGATGAGAGAGGAGTGAAGAACAGGTGACTGTCTACATGTGGACATGACACCGCTTCTGAGGAGAAAACTGAAAGTGGTGCCAAGAGAAGCATATGCTTAGTCTCCAATGTGTGGGATTTAAAGTGTTTGCAGAACATCAAGGAGAAAATCCTGTCCAGAGAAAGACAAGCTACCCACATTAACACAAGTAGCACAAGAAATGATGCTTCTATGTCTTAACTCATAGTGCCTAGTTCTACCTATGTGAAGCTATGAGTAGAAAGGAAAAGAATACAGAATGAGAAGAGGGAAAATGAATGCAAAATGCAATCTTTTTTTTTTTTTTTGGCTTTTTGGGTCACATCCAGCAATGTACAGAGATTACTCCTGGTTCATGCACTCAGGAATTACTCCTGGCAGTACTCAAGGGACCATATGGGATGCTGGGAATTGAACATGCTAACGGCCACGTGCAAGGCAAACACCCTACCTGCTATGCTATCACTCCAGGCCTGCAAAGTGCAATCTTAAAAACATTAATAAAGGCATATGGGTAGAAAATGATACTATTAATATAAAATGCCCATTTAAAACTGTCAAACATATTACAAATTCTAAGAACTACTTCATATAAGGAGGAACTTGTCTTAAGCAACTATACGTAATGAAGACCACAACTGATATCAATAAAAAGCCAAAAGGAAAATTCACAAATAAATGTGATGATTGTTTAAGTACATTCTTTGGTTTAATCAGCATTGGTAACATAGCAAATTTTATTTAAAAGGCTTCCTACTTGAACACAAACACCATAACATCTTCAATACTCATACACTATTCTGAAAGATGTACAACTTTCATTTTCATATGGCTAATACCCTTTCTTAAGAAACTAATGACCTTCATCAAAAAGCAAAAAATGTCTATTCATGCGGTAACCATCCATTCCTTGTGGTCAACACAGTTAAAGCTACATATACAAATATATACAATTGGGGATTTAGACTTTTTCTCGGGGTGGGGGCCACATCTGACTGTGCTCAGGGCTTAATCCAGGCTCTGCGCTCAGAGATCACTCCTGGCAGGGCTCAAGGGACCATAATGGGTGCTGCGCATGAAACCTGGGTCAGCCACGTGCAAGGCAAATGCCCTACCAACTCCCTTCAGCCCAAATACTCTTATTGTCTATTAAATATGACTAACGTATATTTTACCTCCTTAAAAACATCAACCTGTTTTATCCTGCTGATAGCATTTCTATAAATAATAAATTCAGGGCCAGAGAGAGAGTTCCAGGATTAAGGCACTCGCCTTGCATCCAGCCAAACCCTAGTTCAAGTCCCTGGAACCACGTATGGTGCCCCAGCAGAGAGAGGGGTCACTCCTGGAAAACACAGAACCAGGAAAAGCTTCTGAGCACACGCAGTCTAAAGATACACACACACACACACACACACACACACACACACACACACACACACACACCTTTACAGCCTAAGGTGACTTCTTTAGACAATACCTTTACAAGGTAAATAAGGGCTCTATCTCCAACAAAGTTTCAAAATTACTAAAATACCGATTATAAAACAGGAATACAAAACAATCATTTGTTTTTTCTTTTCATATGTTCCTTACCTGTACAATCTTGTGCAACATAAATTGTTAGTCCTTGTAAATCAGGGTGTCTTGCTTCTTCAACTGCTTTTCTAAGAAAAAAAAATCAGCATCATCTTTTAAAATTCTAACATTTCAGTTAGCAAATAAAAATTTAAGGAGAAATAACAGTGTCACTTTCCCAACTGTCATATTTAAACTATATTGTAGGGTTTTTTTTCCTTTTCGGGCCACACCCAGCAGTGCTCAAAGGCTATACCTGGTTTTGTGCTGAGAAGTGAGCCCTAGAAGTGTTCAGGGGCCCATATATGGTTCTGGGGATGTTCAAATCCAGAGTTGACCCAGGTTCAACACTGTCAGCCACAAGCAAGGCGAGTGCCTTTCCCACAGTACCATTTCTCCAGCCCCATTATCCATTTTTTTTAAACCTGCCATCTGGAAATAGAGTGATAGTAAAGCAGGCAGGGCACTTGCCTTGCATACAGCCAACCCAAGTTAAATTCACAGCATCCCATATAGTCCCCTGGGCCCACCAGGAGTGATTCCTGAGCACTGAGCCAGGAGCAAGCTCTATGCACCACTGAGAGAAAGAAAGCAAGAGAGAGAGAGAGAGAGAGAGAGAATTATCACTTGAAATCAGGTCAATTTTTTCAGCATGAAATATTACATTAAATTACTCAAAGAATAATGAAATATAAATTCCAAGTATGCAACTTTGGGGCCGGAGCAATAATAAAGCAGGTAGGGCATTTGTCTTGTACACAGTTGACCCGGGTTCAATCCTCAGTATCCAATATGGTCACCCACGCACCATGAGAAGTAATTACTGAGTGCTTAGTCAGGAATAATACCTGCACACTGCTGGGTGTGGCACAAATACCAAAAGAAAGAGAAATGCAACCTTGAGTATAAAGCAATAAGCCCCATTTTTAAAAAAATGTTATTAGTGAAACACCATGAGGTACAGTTGTAGACTTACAAATTTTTGTGCTTGGGTTTCAGTTATACAGTGATCAAATATCCATCCCTCCACCAGTGACCATTCACCACTACCACTGATCCCAGTATCCCTCCCACCCCCCACCTCACCCCCATCCCACCCTGCCTCTGTGGCAGGGCATTCATTCCCTTTTGTTCTCTCTCTCTCCTTTTGGGTGCTGTGGTTTGCAAAAGAGGCATTGAGTGGCAATCATGTTTGGTCTATAGTCTACTCTCAGCACGCATCTCCCAACCTAGGGAGATCCTCCCAACACCCTTTATTTCATGCTCCCTTCTCTATCTGAGCTGCCTTTTCCCCTAGCGTGTGCGGCTGGCCTCCAAGCCATAGAGTAAACCTCCTGGTACTTAATCTCAGCTGTTCTTGGGTGTTAGCCGCCTATTTTATTACTTTATGTTCCCCAGATGAATGCAATCTTTCTATGTCTGTCCCTCTCTTTCTGACTCATTTCGCTTAGTATGATACTTTCTATGTAGTACCACTTGTATGTAAATTTCATGACTTCTTTTCTAACAGCTACATAGTACTCCATTGTGTAGATGTACCAAAGTTTCTTTAACCAGTTATCTGTTCTCGGGCACTCAGGTTTTTGCCAGATTCTAGCTATTGTAAATAGTGCTGCAATGAACAAACAAGCGTAGACGTCACTTCAACTATACTTTTTTGCCTCTCTGGGATATATTCCCGGGGTGGTATTAATAAGCCCCATTCTTGTCAAAGAATTTCCCCTCCACCACTTCTGTGGCTGTGTTTGGAGGTTTTTTAACGTTTATATACATCACTTGCTCGAGCAGGCCCAGTAACGTCTCCATTGGAGACTTTGTTGTTACTGTGTCTGGCATATCGAATACTCTCGGTAGCTTGCCGGGCTCTCCGAGAGGGGCGGAGGAATCGAACTCGGGTCGGCCATGTTGGCCGCGTGTAAGGCAAACGCCCTACCGCAGTGAGTTACTGCATGCTTGTCCTTGGGTACACTGAAGTGTCTTTTTTTCCTTAAACACTAACATGATGCTTTTCCCCTTCACTTAAACAAATGACGGGGCCAGAGCAATAGTTCAACAGGGAGGGTGTTTGCCTGGCACACGGCAGACTCCGGTTCAATCCCCAACACCCCACATGGTTCCCTGAGCTCCACCAGGTATAAGCCCTGAGCACTGCTGGGTGTGACCCAACAACAACAACAACAAAATAAAAAAATAATGGCAGAAACTGTAGCACTGTCGTCCTGTTGTTCATCAATTTGCTCGAGCAGGTACCAGTAATGTCTCCACTGTGAGACTTGTTACTGTTTCTGGCATATCAAATACACCACAGGGAGCTTGCCAGGCTCTGCTGTGCGGGCAGGATACTCTCAGTAGCTTGCCGGGCTCTCTGAGAGGGATGGAGGAATCAAACCCGGGTCAGCTGTGTATAAGGCAAACACCCTACCCGTTATGCTATCGCTCCAGCCCATGGAAGAAACAAATTTCTGAATTTCAAGTCTTGAATTCGCTAAGAAACATTATACATTAAAAACCACATGGGGTCCCAGGGATGGCTCAGTGGTCGAGCTCAGACCCGGCAGGCCCGAGGCACAAGTTCAATCCTCAGTAGCACCTCACATGCCTTCTGGGCTCTCCAGGGCATGGGTCATTTACGATCCCTAACACATACCTAACGAGTATGTGTATTGGAACAAAACAACCCAGCACGACCATGAATATGAGCGTTATGGCCAAGTGTACACAATCACTGCTCACCAGGACCACAAGAGTGTGGAGCCGGGGGTGGTATTTGTGAGTACAGTGAGTATAATCTTGATATGCAAAAATGTCACAACAGGAACGTCTGCCTAAAGAAATAATATGAATTATGGAACTATAAATATTTTTACTGAACTCCATCTTCATAATTTCTTGACAAGGTGCTTTATCATACATACTTGTATATGTTAGTATAAAGAAGAGAGAGTTCATATAGAACCTATGGCCTGATTTTGTACTGCCTGCAAGCTGAGTGGTTTTTACAATTTTAAAGGACTGTAAAAAGAAAAGTGGGCAAGAGAGTCCATGTGAAGCCCGTAAATCCTAAAATATTTAATATCAGGTCCTTTATATTAGTTTTCTGGTTCCTGGGATATAGAACACATAGAATATATCCTAAATCCTTTTACAATTATACTTTTACATATATCAAGTTGGACTTGATGTTATTAACAACCCATTTCATAGCATTCGGCAAATACTTTTCCAATTGTAAGCACTGGTCCTATGAAATATAAAAGCATATTATATGCAAAATAATTTCAAATTTATGTATTGTTTTAAATGAAATACATTTACTACAATATACTATACTTGAATGATATACTAATAATTCAGTTTATAATAATAATGGAACACAATAAATAAAACCATTTTTTAACTTAAGTAGTATCCAAGTAAATGGCATATAAAACACTGAGGGGTAATAGTGAAATGGGACTTCCAACTTTCTTTCTAAGTTCTCTGTTACAGACCCTTTACTTCGACTATAATTATAATATTAATAGTCCCTTACACTTCACAAGAATTTGATGTATGCAAAGAAATGCTAAAAACATCAATTTTAGCTCTTGACATTTCATTACACTACCAGTACATTACAGCCCCCAGGTCCACTATTAAATTTAAAAACCTATAATGTTATGCATGATCCAAGGTTAAAAAGAGTTGTTAGTTTTTAGAACATTTCACAATGAGGTAGTCCAAAGACAATTGGTGAAGAGACCTGGAATAGCTATACCAATCAGAAAGGGAAGAAAAAAATCTGTCAGCTGATGAATATAAGTAGTGTCACAAAATGTTGTCTTTCGTTTTGTTTTTTACTATTAGCTTCTATAGGCTGGAGCGATAGCACAGCGGGTAGGGTGTTTGCCTTGCACATGGCCGACCTGGGTTCAATTCCTCTGTCCCTCTCGGAGAGCCTGGCAAGCTACCGAGAGTATCCCACCCGCATGGCAGAGCCTGGCAAGCTACCCATGGCGTATTCAATATGCCAAAAACAGTAACAATAAGTCTCACAATGGAGACGTTACTGGTGCCTGCTCGAGCAAATCAATGAGACGACAGTGCTACAGTGCTACTATTGGCTACTGACAGAGCTCACTGATGAACATTTCCTTTTAGTGAAGACTTCCTACACTCCAGCTGCATGTGTCTTGCAGAAATCCGTTATCTCTGAGTTTGGGGACCCGAGTTAAAGATGATCGATTTCATGACAACGTTACCTTAAGATGTGAGCTACCACAGCTGGTCCATACCAATCTCCAGCTTTTTTGCCCGATTTCTTCCCATATTCTATGAGCTGATGTAAACCGAAGAGAGCCAGGGGGGAGTCGCCAAACCAGGAGATGATTGTCCTATGATACATTTCATTTTGCATTTCACGATCATCGGAGTATCTCCCCATTGTTCCCTTCAGAGAAATGGTGGGGGTTTTGAGTTCTCTTTCCTCGGAGAGTGATGCCTCAAAAGATGCAGTCAGTTTTTTTACAGTTTGGGAAGTCCAAGAATCAGAGTCTGAATTTTCAATGTTCAAAGCATCTGGCCAAGTCCATGCTATAAGTAGTTAAAAGCAAGGTGTCAGAATCCATAAATAGTTATGACTTAAACAATTCTACTAAAATAAGTCTATAGCATTGAAGGTCATGAATTACTAAAATAAAGCAGTCAACTTGGGAAGAGACACATTTACAGAAACAGAAAATAGATTAATCATTGGGGGAATCTGAAATCAGGGGTACTGGAAGTGATTACTATGGTGATAATTATAAAATTATGCAAAATAGGCCAAAACCCACCAAACTGTTACTTTAAGGGAATTTCTAGCATGAAGATTATACCTCAGAGAAGCTACTTTTGAAAAAATCATGAGCAGAGAAAATATGCCAATTACATTAATGTATTTTATTAGTGGCAATATTATTTTCTCAGCTTTTCTATAGTTTTCAAATTTTCTAAAATGGGATCTATAACACATAATCAAAAAAAAGTTGTCAAAATAAAAAATAGGAATAAATAGTAAGCTCGAGTGTAAATAAAAATTCTGGAATATGCTTTTCTTTCTTTGACATTACTGAGATGGAATAAAGACTTCTGCATGCCATTACCACCACTGCTTATCAGAAGTCTGGTCTGGGCCACCCCAAGGCGCCATAAACAAATTCACTAACATTCATAGTATTCATGAGAGAATAACTTCAGAAAGTGGACGGACTATATGTTAAAACAGAAGTCTGAACATGAAAGTTTTACATTTCTTTTCACAATGCTTTTTTTTCTCATACACTCCTTTCAGAATAACTTAATCATTGTTTAGGGAGTAATAGCAATTCTCGGGCAAATGAAAAGTTAATAAATGAAGTCATTACAGATCAAAGATCCCCCCCAAATCAACTACATCCACTGCTTCAATGTCTTTAATAACAAGATAGTCCCCAAACATACATGTAATTTTAAGTGAGCAAAATGAGTTATAGGTTCAGAGATCTCGTTGGACCGGTGAAAAATATCCCAATTCTAGTGCCCGTGATTGCACAAGTCTACAAATAAATCATCCCAGAAAAAGTTCAAAACTTCTTTGTTCTTGCATTAACCAAACCACTCTCAAATCAGCCTAATCACTAAATGATCTCATCAATAAACTCTGAAGAAAGGTTACCAAAAATTTACTATTACTTAGAAAACATCAAATACATAACTAAAATATTATGGCAATTAGTAATAACCACATATAATAGACAAGAGTGGCAATTTTTTTTGAAAACTCTCTTGTACATGTAACTATTATTTAAAAATGGACTAACAGAAATGTAAGCCAGCTTTCCACCCTGCTGAGTCCGAGAGTTGCCCCCCATAAGCAGCTCTCTGGCATGGTAATGTCCCCAGAGGCACGCGGACCTAATTCGGAGCCCAGCAGCTTTTGTCCTGCCCTCCCGGGAGGGAAAGGATGTCTGTCTCTTCCGCCCCCCACGCCCCCGCGCAGCACGGTGGCCGCTGCCTCAGAGCTTATTGGACAGACAGGTATGAGCAGGCCGTGATGGGGCAACTGTGGCTTCATGGGATGGGGGGAGCAGAACTGGCACGTCCTTCCTACCCTGCCGAGGCTGAGAGTTGGCCCCCACGAGCAGCTCTCTGGCACGACCGTGGACCCAGAGGCACACAAACCAATCTCGTAACTACACGGCTATTGGCAGAAATCCCTCCAGACTTAATTAGTAAAATATCAGAAACCCAAGATCATACATCATACGGCCTTCATAACCAGCAATAGAAAACAAATTATTTCACAATGCCTTTCCAGCAGGTCTGATTATTGGGGGGAAATTCAAAATAATAATGGTGCATCTTTTGTTGAAATAATGAATGTAATCAAAGTAGAGAGTTAAGCAGAAATCATCTGCCTCACAGGCATCAAGAGAGGTGGGATGGGGGATATATTGGGGTTCTTAGTGGTGGAAAAATATGCACTGGTGAAGGGATGGGTGTTTGATCACTGTTTGGCCAAGACTTAAACCTGAAAGCTTTGTAACTTTTCTCATGGTGATTCAATAAATAAATTAGTTTTTAAAAAAATGTAAGCCAGGTGCCACATGATTAAAAAATAGGTATGTGTAACTAGATATCTGAGGGTCCAAAAGACTAATCCTGATAAGCATACTAAGAATATACTGAGGCCAGAGAGATAACACAGGGGGTGAGGTGCTCACCCTACAGCATGCAGACCTTTGTTCAATCCCCAGCACTGCATAAGAGGCCCGACCACCACCGAGCATACAGCCAGGAACAACCCCCAAGGACTGCCTGGTGTGGCCCCAAAACAACACTCCCTCCAAAACCAAAAATAAAGATGGTGATGATGGTGATGCAGGAGTGTCTGACATAGAGAATATGGCAGGGAGGAGTTCAGGGGGCAGGGTTGGTTCTGCGACCCCACGTGGGCCTCCAGGCATTGCTAGTTTTGTTTCTGTGGGCTCCAGCTCTGCTTCAGTGGCCCATGAGGGTTCCTGCACCCAGCAGCAAGAACAGCACCACACCAAAGATCCCTACCATTGGATCATGTAGCCCAGTATTACTTAGAGTAACCCCTGAGCACTGCTTGGGAGGACTCCCGGTGCCCAACAGGATAGCAAGAGCAGTGTCTAACCAGTTTAGGATTACAATCATATCCATAGAGATAGAAATTACAAATTATATATCCATAGAGATCAAAAATTAAAGCATTTTTGATATGTAGAAAAAAATAAAGAAGCCCAATAAAACTACTAAGATTTCAACACAAACACATCCACTATCTGTTCAAAGTTTGCTACTACCTTCTCCAGGATTTACTGGATTAAAAAGAACAGAGAGGTGAACTGCAAAAAAAAAAAGATAACATAACAACAAAAAGTCCCAAGGTGGTAGCCAAGAATGCTACAAATCTTGGTGTTTTAGTTTAGTTTAGTTTAGGGGGTTGTTTATGTTTTCATTTGTTTTGGGGGCCACACCCAGTGATGCTCAGGGCTTACTCCCGGCTTTGCACTCAGGAATCACTCCTGGCAGTGCTCAGGGGACCAGAGGGGGTACCAGGAATCGAACCTGGGTTATCTGCATGCTAGGTAAGCACCCTATTCACGGTACTATCTCTCGGCCCCTATTCTTATTATTTTTAACAGCTGAGCTGGGGGCATGCAGTGCCAGAGACTGAATGCAGGGCCGCACACATATGTAGGAGCCAGCAAACACCCATTTGCCCCAAACAGGTCTTTCTAGCCTGTTCTGTTGAAGGGGAAAATCTTGAAAATGAACATACAAGTCATACCTCACCGAGCTAAACAGGGATGTAATGATGTTAGCACTGTCCTCCCACTGTTCATCAATTTGCTCGAGCGGGCACCAGTAACGTTTCACAATGTTATGAGACTTGTTGTTACTGTATTTGGCATATTGAATACGTCAGAGGGAGCTTGCCAGGCTTTGCCATGCGGGCGAGATACTCTCGGTAGCTTGCCGGGCTCTCCCAGAGGAGAAGAGGAATCGAACCCGGGTCGGCCATGTCAGCCGCGTGCAAAGCAAACGCCTTACCTGCTGTGCTATCGCTCCAGCCCAATTGTGTTAGATTCATTATAATTTGAGAAGGAATCAGGGAACCAAGAAATTAACCTACAAGGATTTTGCACATTTTTTGAGAGAGAGTTCGTGTTTTAAAAAACGAGTAACAACCCAAAGCACAGAGATTGGATTTACCTCTACCAAGAAAGTGTAGTAGGAGGCCCTGGGCCAACAGCATCTGACCAGTCCTCAATGTACAGCCCCAACCACAGTCTGTTGTCAAGGTTGAGCCTTCTATTGGAGGAAATTCTTCCCTGTAGGTCAGCCATATTCTTGAGATGAAATCTTCGCGAAATTCTTCGACGTTTCCTGCTATTACGTGGTCTTCTTTTGTGCAGCCTGATCTTGCCGGTATCAGTTTATTTTCATCTACAAAATAAAAAGTATCAACTAGAATCTCAGTATAGGCAAAGAAACGTCAGTACGGTAGTATAGGCCCGGCAGAAATGGAGTATGGCACAACCTTTCCAATCCTTTCTCCTGTTTTAATGAAGAGAAATCTTATTCTGCCTAATCAGACTACTAAGAAAATAAAACCAGTCCAGAGAGATAGTACAGGAAGTAAGGTACTTGCCTTGCATGTAGTCAGTCACACCTGGTTTAAATTTCTGGCACCACATATGGTCCCTGAGCTCTGCCAGGGGTCACTCGTAAGCACACAGAACCAGGAACACATCCTGAGCATCACTGGGTGTGGGAGGGGAGGGCGTGGGAGGGGAAGGGAGAGAAAGTATAGAAAACAGGGGCTGGATGAGAGGACAGAGTTAAGGCACAGGTCATGCAACTGATGAACCACAGTTCAGTTCCCCAGCACTACCCAATACCCGATACCCAAAGCATGGAAATGCACTGGGAGGGGTCCTCAGGCCTCCTGACCACCACCGGGGAGACTCAAATTTTTTAAAAAAATTATAAAAAAGAAAAGAAAATGAAAATTAATACTGAAATGTTTTATATACTCAAATATGAGGTATTCTCATTAATAGGACTGCTTATGATACTTTATATTCTCTCAATAAAATGAGCTATTAGATGAGGGATAGTAGGAATTTTCTTTTTGTCTCATTCTGCTCAGAACAGATATTTGTGCTCACTAAAATCACTGTTGTGATAACATCCTGTTGTTCATCAATTTCCTCGAGCAGACCACAGTAAAGACTCCTTTGTTCTAGTCCTGAGATTTTAAAAAGTGCCACATTCGAGGCTCTTTCAGGGTCAGGAGAATGAGACCCATCATCATTACTGTTTTTTGGTATATTGAATATGCCACGGGGAGTTTGCCAGACTCTGCCGTGTGGTAGCCTGCCAGGTTCTCCAGAGTAAGACCTAGATAATAAGATGGGTTTTATAGTCTCTGGGTCTTGGACGCTGATGGGATTACACGGTGCTGGGGGAGATTTGCAAATAAAGTATCATGATTTATCAGTATGTTAAAAATGTGTGTAGTCACAGAAGCTGGTTCTCAAAACCAAATAAATGCACACTATTTCTTATATTTATATTTAGTTTATAAAACAAGACGTGCTAAGTAGCAAGACTATAAGATTGTTAAAATACAGTCTTAATCTTGTATGTTGAGATGAGCTGTTTTTTGAGCTTGAGTTGTCCTCCCGTTCTTCATCGATTTGCTCAAGTGGGCCCAGTAACATCTCCATTTTTTTTTGAGACTTGTTGTTACTGTGTTTGGCATATTGAATATGCCACGGGTAGCTTGCCAGGCTTTGCCGTGTGGGCGAGGTACTCTCAGTAGCTTGCCAGGCTCTCCGTGGGGGGCGGAGGAATCGAACCTGGCTCAGCTGGGCTGGCTGCGCGCAAGGCAAACGCCCTACCGCTGTGCTATCGCTCCAGCCCATGTTGAGATGAATTTTTAAAAATTGCTGCTATCCACATATATCAATTTCCAGACTGACCATCTCTAATACAGTTTCTCTGTGAAAACTGTGGTCTCTTCTTGCCCAATAATTTACAAAGCACTAAGAGCTGGAAGTGATTTAGCATCCCTTGATGACTTTGTCATCTTTACAGTGGAAGCAGACAGCACGGCAGCACCCAGCACGAGTAGCTCCTAATAAATGTTGGTTGGGGTGAGTAAATGGATGAGTAGATAAATCTGCCTACAACTCTCAGTTCCAAGTTCAATGCCCAATACCCTCCTGATGTTAAAGCAGTTTTTATCATTCCTCATACCTCTTGCACTATCCCTGCTCGATCTTGGTCTGAAAAAAACTACAATCAAGCAAACTTCAACACAAATTCAGTTTAAATGCACTGAATTACAGCCTGTGTGTGGCTCCAACGACGATAAAAAAGAACGGATGTCAAGCCCGTATCACCACTGTTCTTCTGTCTACATTAGAGTATGGAGTTAGTTACAAAATTGAAATTGCCTGGAAATAAAACACCACTCTGCAAATATGTCCAAAATTTCCACCTGAGAGATATTCGAATGTGTCTGAAATGAGATTGAGGAAATAATTCACACCTCATCCTGTGGCTTGTCGAACATCCAGTTCTGAATTTCTCACCTTGAATAAGGGATTCATTCCTTATATCTCTCACAGTAACTGATAAAACTAATTGGAGAGGTCAAGGATGATGATGTGACCCACCATCATCATTGATGGTGAGATGTGCCCCCCCCTACCAGTATGCTCTACCAGGAGTGATCTCTGGGTGCAGAGCTGGAAGAAGCCCCAACTACGGCACAGCTCTGGCCCCAAAGCATACATAAGAATCAGAAAATATACCCTTTTAAAGTGAATTAGGGTGGAAGTTTTAATTATTTTCGTATATTTTAAAGCAATTGCCAGAGAGCTTGATACAGCATCAATTCAGATACAGCACTAGCACTCATACCGGAAGTCCAAGTCGATAAAGGAGGTCAGGAAAGATGGGCATGACCATTATTGTCGAGTTCACAAGACGCCCGAACCCCAGGGCAGTGAGGTCTTATTTTATATGTCATATAAAATGCAGTTGTTGAAAAGGAATATCCCAAAAGAGAAGCATAAAAACGTACAAAGGTGGTCGCAGGGGAAGAGAGGAGTGTGGAATGACTGTTTATCAGATTCAGAGCTTCTGAACTTACAAGACAGGAAGTTCTGGAGACAATATGTGATAGTGGTTGGACAACTTTATGACTATTTAATATCACTGAAACACAGAATTAAATATCATAGAATTGAATATCACCGAAACACAGAATTAAAATTGTGATAAATGTATACTGCATTCTTACCCAATAAAAATATTGGAAGCAAAAGAGAATAGACGTAAATATATCTGAAAATAAAATCATGAAAACAGTCAAAAAAATTACTACAAGATTTTGGAAGGAATTACAAATATGGAACTTACCTTCATATTTAAAATGGTAACATTTTCCAAGCAATAAAACAGGGGAGTTTCTACTAAAATATGTCTTTGTTTTCAACACCCAACCTAAACAAAAGCAAAAGGAAGAAATAGTTTAAAGCGAAAGGATTTCAAACTAAAAGTCTAGCAAATCATCTATTATCAACTGTGAAGGTACAATTTTTGCAAAGTAGCAAAACATCTCCAGGATGCTTTCTGGACCGCAACACATCATAAGACACTTAATACCCATCTTCCAGGATTGCCGCACCGTATTTGATGGGGTTCAAATATGGTTTGAACATGGGAATACCTACAAGGGCAATTACAGGCCACCCCAAAAGCCTCTATTCCTTTCAGAGAGCCTGGCAAGCTACCGAGAGTATCCCGTCCACACGGCAGAGCCTGGCAAGCTACCCGTGGCGTATTCGATATGCCAAAACCAGTAAATACAATGGGTCTCATTCCCCTGACCCTGAAGGAGCCAGTAAATACAAGTGAGCAAAACATCTAGACTACAGCCTGAATGACCAAAGTCATTTCTTGTACTTTCAGATAACGTGAAACATGGAAACTTAAGTCCGTCCCTTTTTCAAAGATGAGAGGGGAAAGGTTTAGTAAAAACCACTGGCAATTGCAAAGAAAGCAGCCCTCTGGAGAACCTCCCTCTGGAGCAGCTCAGCCTCAGGAAAGCCTCTCTCCAGATCCCTGGGCCCTAAGAAAACGGAGTCCGGTTACTCAGCAACACATTTCACGAGTAGGGACGTATGGTGCTTTTGAGCTCAAGCTCCACTTGCAGTGCCCGTTTTCTCCCCCTGCTCTATTTCTGGTGCAGATCCCGCAAGGCCTCGCAAGAGTTTGTCTTCCTCCAGTGCTCCAGGAGGCCAGGACAGAGATGAGGACGTTTCAGAGCCACTTTTTCTCTTTTACATAGGCGCAACAGGACTGAAACAGGCTAATACACCAAATCATTACAGAATGGACTTTCTTTCTCATTTAATTACTTAGTTCTGCTTGGTCAGTTTTCATTTCACCTTTAATAAAAGCCCTGGAGGAAACGTATCCCTACTCTTGGCCAGGTTTGCTGATGCTGAATCAGAGCGCTATGGTGCAGATAGGGGAAAATAGAGGTTACCCAAAGACACAGTGCATCAATTCACACACACTGGGGCATACATAGGTAAGAGCCAGGAGAAGAAGAGAGGGCTGGAGTGATAGTACAGCGGATAGGCCGTTTGCCTTGCACTCGGCTGACCCGGGTTCAATTCCCAGCATCCCATATGGTCCCCCGAGCATGACCAGGAGTAATTCCTGAGTGCAGAGCCAGGAGTAACCCCTGTGTATCGCTGAGTGTGACTCAAAAAGAAAGAAAAACAGAAGATAAATGATGAGGAAGTTCCTCTTCTATGTATTAGAAAGAAAATATTAATCAGAATTCTTCATATTCAAGGATATATATTGATTCTGTCTCTCGATTCTTTAAAAATTTTTTAAATATTAAATATTTAAATATTTTATACGACTTTCTGTAATTTATAAGATTTTCTGTAATTTATATTTATTTTCCTGAATTCAGATGCTTAATGTTAAAGATTCATTTAAAATTTGACCTATACAATCTTAATTTTTTTTAATTTATTTATTTTGAATACCCATCCCTCCACCCCCCTTTAAATATTTTTAATGAATTAACTGGGGAAAGGGAATTTGGAGCCATAGCCAGCGGTGCTTGAGGGCTACCCTCAATTCTGTTTTCGGTGGATTATTTGGTGCTGGGGATCAAACCCGTATCAGCTGCTTGCAAGGCAAGTGCCTTCACCCTGGACTACCTCTCTAGCCCCTTGCTCCCTTTTGACATCCAAATGTCAATCTATAGTAGCAAGGACAAAGACAAATTAAATGGCATGGTCTCTAAGTGAAAACTATTTCAATCTAAGAAAAGCAGGTAAAATGCTAGAGAGTATAGCGGGAAAGGCACGTGCCCTTTCAAATGCAGCTGAGCCCAGTTCATCCTGGGCACCACATAAGGACCTCTGGGCACCACCAGGGGTCACTTCTGCACACAGACACAGTTCCACGGGGTCCCCCGGGCATCACCAGGCAAAGTCCTAGAGGCTCCAGAGCACGATCAGGTATGACCCAGAGCCCCCAGGGAACCATGGGGTGGCCTGGAAATCCAAGCACAAGGGCCCAGCAGCACGGTGACCTCAGGGTTGCCCCTTCCACCCTGGCCCACTTGGCCATGAACTGCCAGGAGGAGCCAGAAAGACAGTATAGCTCGTTAGGGCACTTGCCCTGCACACAGCCAGGATGGCACAGCACGAATCCCCAAGTTGCATCAGGAGGGACCCAAGCACAGAGCAAGGAGTTAGCCCTGGGTCTTGCAAGATGAAGTTCCCCTGCCCACCAGCCCCATCCCCACCTTGCACCCCACACCCCTGCACCATGGGGGGTGCGGGGGGGGAGAGCTGTCAGGAGGGCTTCCCAGACCTTCTGAGCACTGCTTGAGAGACCCTCAAATTAAGAAAGTTAGGTTAAGATTTTGTAGATGATACACATCTTCGATTATTTCCGAGAGCTTCTACAAGCTTAAGTCATGGTACTTACTATATTTCATGTTGTTCCAAGCAGATATAAATTTAGTTTTTAGCTTGTCAACTTCATCTGTTCCTGTGGCCTCCATATTCAAATTCTAAAAGCAAGCCATCACTCGATTGCATTCTTCTGTCAAGTTTAATCTTTGTGCTGACTTTTTTTTTTATAGAAGAAAGAACCAAAGAAAGAGAAAAAAACAGTAACAAATATATTCCATATGCTGCCCTACTTGCTAAGCTTACTTATTAAGTGATTAAAAGTGAACTGGAAAAATGCTAACCAACGTCTCATCTTACAGATCAGAATATTATACAGTCTATAAAGATTTTAATTACAAAAACATTGAATATTAGATCTACAATAAAATTAACACCAATCATCTTCCCCCCCCCCCCCCGTGCCCCCTCCCCAGCCCAGCACTCACAATTAAGCACAATAAATAAATCAGCTTAGTAACACCATTCAGCTTTGGTGGAAACGAGACCATCAAGATTTATTTGTAATTAGGGAAGGTGATTTGAACACTTATGAAAAATGATAACTCTCCAGAACGGAGGCCTCCACTTCTATTGCTCTTCTTTCAGATACAGTCTCCTGGTTTCCTCTCTTTCCCTCTCACTGTTTCACTTTCTAACCTGAGGCATTTCAGCGGGTGCCCTCCTAACCATTCACCCATTAACTCCGCTGCTCCCTCACCAGGGACCACCCTTGGTTGGGGTGTTCCAGCACAAGGGTTGTAACACGAACTGGGGGGTCTCTCTCTCTCTCTCTCTCTCTCTCTCTCTCTCTCTCACACACACACACACACACACACACACACACACACATTTCTGGCTCTGGGACTGCAACAGTTGCTCACAGTATGCTGGAAACCACAAATTTGTGCAGAGACAGGTATGACTAGCCCCCTTCCCCGGGCTCCTTGGCAGGCATGCCCCCACTGAGTCACATGCTCAGGCCCAAGGCCACAGCACCTTACTAAGAAAGAGAATGGCATTTTATATTCCACAAATGAGAGCAGTCATTCAGTCTGTCCCTCTCTTTCTGACTCATTTCACTTAGCATGACCATCCACTTATAAGAAAATTGCATGCCTTCATCTTTCCTAACATCTGCATAGTATTCCATTGTGTGGATGTACCAAAGTTTCTTTAACCAGTCGTCTGTTCTCAGGCACTCAGGTTGTTTTCCGATTCTGGCTATTGTGAAAAGTGCTGCAATGAGCATACAGGTGCAGATGTCATTTCTACTGTGCTTTTTTGCACCCTCGAGATATAAAATAACATAATACAAGATAGCACAGTGGTAGGGCATTTGCCTTACAAGCAGCCAACATGGCCAACCCGAGTTCGATTCCTCCGCCCCTCTCGGAGAGCCCGGCAAGCTACCGAGAGTATCTCACCCACACGGCAGAGCCTGGCAAGCTCCCCGTGACGTATTCGATATGCCAAACACAGTAACAACAAGTCTCATGATGGAGATGTTACTGGGCCCGCTCGAGCAAATCGATGAACAACGGGAGGACCGTGACCGTGACCGTGAATACAAGACTGACATCCAAGGATAGTAGAGACAAGGGCCAAGAAGATTGCTCCATGGTTGGAAGCCTGCCTCATGAGCTGGGGGGAGAAGGCAGCTGGGATAGAGAAGGGACCACTAAGTCAACGATGGTTGGAGGGATTGTTCAGGATGGGAGATGTGTGCTGAAATTAGATAAAGGACCAAATGTGATAGCCTCTCAATATCTATATTGCAAACCATAATGCACCCCAAAGTAGAGGGAGAGTATGGGAGAAATTGTCTGTCAGAGAGGCAGGGGGAGGGATAGGTTGGGGGTTGATACTGCGGACACTAATGGTGGAAAATGTGCACTGTTGGAGGGATGGGAGTCATTGTATGATAGAAATTCAAAGATGAAAGCTTTGTGGCTATAGCTCACAGTGATTCGATTAAAAAAATTTTAAATAAAAGAAATCGAATGGCTTCATGCAAGCCCCAGCTGTGAGCTCTGAGCTTCAGGGCATGTAAACTCTGGCCAAAGTGAAGACAACAAAAATTTGGAAGGGGGAGGCGTGGAAAGAAAGAGAAATAAATACTTTTTTTTTAAAAGTAGAATGACTTTCTCTTTATAATAGAAAAGATACATGAAAGGAGCCAGGCAGGCATGTGGCCTCGAGGTAGAGGAATACATGCCTAGCATGTGCGAGGCTGATTTCGAACCCCACAGCATCCAGGGAGCTGAGCCTGACCCCCAACATGCCAGCTTCCCCGCATCACTGAGCCAGGCCCCAGCCCTGGAACACCGGCCCTTGTGGCCTGCTGGGTATCACTCAAGAGTGGTCCTTGGCCCCCACGAGCAGCTCTCCAGCACGGCCACAGCCCCAGAAGCACAAGGACTTAATGCAGAACCCAGCAGCTTGGAGCAGAAAAGTGAAAGGACTATGCATTAATCCAGGCAATCATGTCTGCCCAGAGGGGAAAGGGTGTTGCTCCCTTCCGCCCTCCTCCCTCTGGAAAGAAAGATGGCGGCCACATGGGAGCCTTGTGGACAGCAGGTATGAGCCGGGGGTGTGGGGGTGACTAAAACCTCATGGGTCGGGGGGCATTCCGGTCCGTCCTTCACGCCCTACCGAGGTCACCAGTTGCCCCCCACGAGCGGCTCTCCAGCACAGCCACGGCCCCAGAAGCACAAGGACTTAATGCAGAACCCAGCAGCTTGGAGCAGAAAAGTGAACGGACTATGCATTGATCCAGGCCATCAAGTCTGCCGGAGGGGAAAGGGTGTTGCCCCATTCGCCCTCTCCTCTCTGGAAAGAAAGATGGCGGCCATATGGGAGCCTTGTGGACAGCAGGTATGAGCCGGGAGTGTGGGGGCGACTAAAACCTCATGGGAAGGGGGGCGTTTCGGTCCGCCCTTCACGCCCTACCGAGGCCACCAGTTGCCCCCCACGAGCGGCTCTCCAGCACGGCCACGACTCCAGAACACAGAAACCAATTTCTTAACTATCTGACTTTCAGTAGAAATACTTCCAGGGTCAATAAGTAAAATAGCAGAAATCCAAAACCAACATTTAATTCTTGAACCCAGCTGTAGAAAGCAAATCACTTCACAATGCTTTTTCAGCATGTCTGATTGGGGGGGGGGGGGTAAACTCTAAATAATAGTGGTGAATCTTTTATTGAAACAATGAATCTAATCAAAGCAGATAGAGTGCTAACTAGAATTCATCTGCCTCACAGGGACGGGGAGGGGTGGGGGGTGGGATTTTATTGGGGTTCTTCATGGTAAAAAATAAGTATTGGTAAAGGGAAATGTGTTTGATATTTGCATGACTGAGACCTAAACCTGAAAGCTTTGTAACCTTTCCCACAGTGATTCAATAAAAAAAAAAAAGAGTGGTCCTTGGGCAAATGGAGAAATGGTAGGAGTATAATTCGATAAATAAATAAGTGTCATCACTCTGTGATCAGCTATTCCATTCCTGAGCATCTATCCAAGAACACAAAAACACTAATTCAAAATGCCACTTGTGATGGGTATTTGATCATTGTATAACTGAAACCCAAGCACAAAAATTTGTAAGTCTACAACTGTACCTCATGACGTCTCACTAATAAAATTTTTTTTTAAAAATCCTACTTGTGGGGCTGGAGCGATAGCACAGTAGGTAGGGCATTTGCCTTGCACGCAGCCGACCCGGGTTCGATTCCCAGCATCCCATATGATCCCCTGAGTACTGCCAGGGGTAATTCCTGAGTGTAGAGCCAGGAGTAACCCCTAGGCTCATGGCCGGGTGTGACCCAAAAATAAAAAACAAAATGCTACTTGTATACCTACATCCAATTCGGAACTATTTACAAGAGCCAAAATCTGGAAACAATCCAAGTAACAGAGCTGTTCTGTACAGACTCAGAGGACAACTCCTCCGCTAGTAGAACATATCTGCTGGGCAGGAAAGACAACCCCCATTCAGCCCTGGCACCACCTGTGCTCCTGGGTACTGAACTGAGAATAACCCAAAGATTGTCAGGTGCGTCCCACAACAACAACAAAGATGAAATCCTGCCTTTTTCTACAATGTGGGTGGAACTGAGGCGAGTCGTGCTAAGTGAAATGAGAGAGGAGGAGAAAGAAAGCAGAGAGCTGATGTCACTCCCATGTGGTAGACGAACAAACAGAAGGAAGCGGCCCGTCCAGCGAACATGAATCACTGGGCTGGCCACAGTCCCAAGGTGACCAGGACTGGGGAGTCTAGACGCGGTCAGTGGACCATGGCAGTCAGTGGACCGAGGATTCTGTCACTTGGGCAGTGGGTGTGGAGTGTAAACACTGCACCCATAAAGGTCATAAACATTTATACTCCTGTAATCCCATGCTTCCTCGATCAAAATTAAATTTTCTAAAGGATTAAGGGCCGGAGAGGGAGCAGCAGGGTCTTGTCTTTCATGCAGCCAATCCTGGTTCAATTGCTGGAACCACGTAGGGTGCCGATGTACTGCCAGGAGTGACCCCTGAGCGGAGTCAGGGGCAAACTCTGAATACAGCAGGGCATGGCCACCAAGAACATTTTTAAAGGAAGAGTAGTTCATAAGTGTTTTAACACAGGCCTGAGGGAAAAAAAAAAACTAGTATGAACTAGTATGTGGCGTAATTTGAAGGAGCAGTAACATGTGACTGGAAATTATTTTTTGGTGGGGAGGCCTCCAAGCAATGCTCAGTGGCCAAAAAAGAAATTCACAAACTCCTGGAAATAATAACTGATGAAGTTTCTAGCATACAGATTAATGGAGAAAACAATCACTTCCCTGCATGTCCACAGTGAACAATTACTGATTTTTAATTTCATTTGAAACACATAAGCATTTGTAAGAGTACTCCCAAAACCTTGAAATACCTATATATGAATCTAACAAAACATGTACAAAATCAACATAAAGAAAATTACAAAACCCTAATGAAAGGTAACAAAAAAGAACTGAGCAGTCGAAAGACGTCCTATGTTCACTCACAGGAAGATTCAGTTCTGCCAAGGTGTCAGTTCTTATCAACTTGATCTATAGATATAATGCAATCTCAATCGCATTTTTGTATTTTTTATGTACATAAACAAATTAGTTCTAAAATTTATATAAAAAAAAAAACAAAAGGTCCAG